ACACATGAAAGAATGCTCAACATCATTAATCATTAGAGAAATGCAAATCAAAACTACAATGAGATATCATCTCACACCAGTCAGAATGGCCATCATCAAAAAATCTAGAAACAATAAATGCTGGAGAGGGTGTGGAGAAAAGGGAACCCTCTTGCACTGTTGGTGGGAATGTAAATTGATACAGCCACTGTGGAGAACAGTATGGAGGTTCCTTAAAAAACTACAAACAGAACTACCATATGACCCAGCAATCCCACTACTGGGCATATACCCTGAGAAAACCATAATTCAAAAAGAGTCATGTACCAAAATGTTCATTGCAGCTCTATTTACAATAGCCCAGAGATGGAAACAACCTAAGTGTCCATCATCAGATGAATGGATAAAGAAGACGTGGCACATATATACAATGGAATATTACTCAGCCATAAAAAGAAACGAAATTGAGCTATTTGTAATGAGGCAGGATACTGGAAATGCATTTAAAATGAAAAGACCAGCAACTTAAAACAACCTTGTTTATATATAGACCGCTATATCAAAACCTCATGGTAACCACAAACTGAAAATCTACAATAGATACACACACAAAAAAGAAAAAGGAATCCAAACGCAACACTAGAGTTAGTCATCAAATCACAAGAGAAAACCAAAGGAGGACGGGGAGAAAAAACACCTACAAAAACAAATCCACAGCAATTAGCAAAATGGCAATAAGAACATACATATCAGTAATTACCTCAAACATAAGCAGATTAAATGCTCCAACCAAAAGACACAGACTGGCTAAATGGATACAAACTTTCAGTTATAAAATAAGTAAGTCATGGGGATGTGAGGTACAGCTTGGTGAATAGTTAATACCTCAATAAAAAAAAGAAGTGATTAGTTAATACCTCAATAAAAAAAAGAAGTGATTAAAAAGATAATTACTGGTAAAAAAAGAGAATGAACACATCTATCATCCCCAAGTTTCCTGGGATCCCTTTGCAATCCATCTCTGCTGCCCACCTCCCTACGCTCAGCAACCACTGATCTGCTGTCACTACAGTTTGCTTTTCCATACTATGAAATCACAGTATGTACATTTTGTCTGATTTTTTTCCAGTCAGCATAATTATTTTAAAATTCATTTATCTCGTGTTTATCAGTAGTAATTTCTTTTTATTGCTAGGTAGCATTTCTGTAGTATGGATATACCACAGTTTGTTGACCCATTCACCTGTTCATACACATTTGGATTATTTCCAGGTTTTGGCTATGAAAGTTGCTATGAACTTTTGTATTTAAGTCTTTGTGTGAACTTGAAAGTCACCTTCGCTAGTTATAAATCCTTGGCTCACACATTCTTTCCTTGAGTGCTGTAAATGTGTTCTCCATTTTCTCATGCACAGATCATTGCTGTTGAAAAGCCAGATAATCCAATTGTTTCCCTTGTAAGTTACATGGCTCCTTTTGCCTAGATGCCCAAAGGACTTTTTTTTTTTCCTTTAAGGCCAGTAATTTCACTATACTTAGGCCTTTTTGCTGATGATTCTGGGTTGATAGTCTTAAGTATAGGGTATGCTCTCTCAATATGTAGTTTCAAATATGGTTTTTAAATTTTAAGGTAGTTTTCTTGAATCAGTTTTTAGTATTTGTTCTGTTTTCTTCTCCTGGACTCCTAATATTCACGTTTGATCTCTGCTTGTCTTCACCTTTTGTCAAAATCTTTTTATTTCTTCAGTTTTTCTTTTTTTCCTTTTTCACACTATTTCTCTTAAGGCATTATCTGTTGTGTTTATTTGCTCTGGTATTCCTTCTAGTTTAGTCTTTATGTATGAAATAATTTTTAATTTCTAACTCTTTCCTGAGTTCTGTCACCTCATTTCTTCTGAGTCTTTCTAATTTTGATTTATGCTATTTTTTAATGTCTTGTGTCATTAAAAAAAAACTCTCTTAGCTTGATTGGGAATAGCGGGTGACAACTGGTTCTGTTTTTGTGGTCATGTCTTTCTTTCACTGCCCGTGAGAATATTATTTTGCATATTCATTTTTTCTTAAAGGAAAAAGCTTTCTTAAAGGAAAACTTCTGAGATTTCACCTCAAATACTTCTTTTTTATTTTTTATATTTTTGCGGTACGCGGGCCTCTCACTGTTGTGGCCTCTCCTGTTGCGGAGCACGGGCTCCGGACGCGCAGGCTCAGCCGCTCCGCGGCATGTGGGATCTTCCCGGACCGGGGCATGAACCCGTGTCCCCTGCATCGGCAGGCGGACTCTCAACCACTGCGCCACCAGGGAAGCCCTTCTTTGTTATTTTTAAGTGAAATTAGTTTTCCTGATCAAATGAGGTTCAGGAAAGCCTTTCTAAGTTCAGAAGTGTCTGTTTTTGTGTAGTAGTAACAAATGTGACAGCTTGCTTCTGGGATTTCATGGCTCTGTTCCTCTCCCCCACTCTGGTCTATATCCTCTCTTTCCTTTCAGTGCGTGTCCCTCTCTGGCTCTGTGTCCCTCTGCTCACAAGGGGCACTATTGTGGAAGCAAGCCCAGTGGGTCATGAGGGTCTGATTTCCCCAAGTCCCTTTAGTCTTTCTTTTGGTGGGCCCCCTGCGCTCACCTGGTATGAGGTCATGCAACCCCCAGGCCCCATGTCAGTTCTCCAAAGAAGACATAACAAATAGCCACTAAGCACGTGAAAAGATGCCCAACACCATTAGTCACTGGAGAAAATGCACATCGAAACCACAGTAAGGTGCTACTTCACACCCACTCGGATGGTTATCATCAAACAGGAGAGACAGAAAGAAAGAAAAAGAAGACGACAAGTGTTGGCAAGGGTGTGGCGAAACTGCAATCCTCATACGTTGCTGGCAGGAATGTAAAATGGTGCAGTTAACTTGGATTAACAGTTAGCAGTTCTTCAAAAAGTTAAACACAGAGATTCCATGACTTGGCAATTTTACTCCCAAGTAGTTACCCAAGAAAGTTCAAAACACAAAAACGGAGGACACACAAATGTTTGTAAGAGCATTATTCATAATAGCTAAAAATGATCACTAACTGATGAATGGCAAAATAAAATGTGTATATTCACACAATGGAATATCATTCAGCCATAAAAAGGAATGAAGCACCGATATATGCTATGATATGGATGAACCTTGAAAACATGCTATGTGAAAGAAGTCAGTCACAAAAGACCACACACTGTATAATTCCATTTACAGGAAATGTCCAGAATAGGCAAATCCATAGAGATAGAAGGCAGATTAGCGTTGCTTGGGGCTAGGGGTAGGGTGGGGTGGAGAGTGACTGCTAATGGGGTTTCTTTTTGGGTGATGAAACAGATCTGGATACTAGCAGTGAGAGTTGTACAACTTCGTGAGTATATTAAAAACTACAGAACTGTATACTTTTAAAAAAGGGTGAATTTTATGATATGTGAATTTTATCTTAATTCTAAAAGAAGTTACAAACAAAACTACAAAATTCCTGTCCTCAAACAGCTGCTGTTTGCCAACTGGCCAGCAATGCTTCCCAGTGAACACCTCTTGGCTCCTCTGGGGGTACTCCTCAGGTGTGGTGGAAGGCATCGCATTACTCCTTCCTCCTGCTCGGATGCCAATACCTCAGTCTTGCGGCTGTCGGTGGTCCACTGCTCTCTGCTTGTATTTTGGAGTTTGAGGAAATACCTTGCTACCCAATTTTGTTGTTAACTGTTGTTCAGGAGGTTTTGGTTTTGCTACCGAGTTGCTCTGCTGGTTTCTATGCAAAGACTGGAAAAGACTCAAGCACTATGCTGCCATTCCCCACCATCTTCCCAGAAGCCTCCCAGCCTATTCAGTTTTGCAAGTTAGTCAGCAGATGGGGATCACAGGGTCCCAAGTAACAGGACCCTGAGACAGGCTCCTGGGGCCTTGAAGGCTGGGCAGGCTGTGGACCCCCTGAATCTGAGAACTGCAAAATACAGTGTCAAACTTGGGGCTGCTGACTTCCATCTGCATAGTTTTCAGAAGTGCTGAGGCCATGAAAGCTGGACTGCTGTGTAGACAGAAGGTAGATGGATTTCAGGGTTCTAACCTCAGCACAGTACCTTCTCTAAGTCACTTACTTTTTCTAAGCCTCACTTACCTAATTGTAAAATGAGAACAGGACTGGTGACCTTGCAAATCTGCACATTTGTTATTTTTTCTTTCATTCACAAACATTTGAGAGGATTACATGACATACAGCAGACGCTCAAGAAATGTGAGATTTCCCCTCACTGTCCACCATGCTTGCTTTCTTTCTTTTTTTAATTTATTTTATATTTGGCTGCGTTGGGTCTTTGTTGCTGCGTGCGGGCTCTCTCTAGTTGTGGCAAGTGGGGGCTATTCTTCATTGTGGTGTGTGGGCTTCTCATTGCAGTGGCTTCTCTTGTTGCAGAGCATGGGCTCTAGGCGCGCGGGCTTCAGTAGTTGTGGTGCACGGGCTCAGTAGCTGTGGCTCGCCGGCTCTCGAGTGCAGGCTCAGTAGTTGTGGCGCACGGGGCTTAGCTGCTCCGCGGCATGTGGGATCTTCCTCGACGAGGGCTCGAACTCATGTCCCCTGCATTGGCAGGTGGATTCTTAACCCCTGAGCCACCAGGGAAGCCCCACTGTGCTTTCTTGACTGTTTTAACCTTAATGTCCAATGACTACAAGTAGAGGACTAAATTCCTATGATGATTTTTTTTTTTTTTTTTTTTTGCGGTAGGTGGGCCTCTCCCTGGGGTGGCCTCTCCCGCTGCGGAGCACGGGCTCCGGACGCGCAGGCTCAGCGGCCATGGCTCACGGGCCCAGCCGCTCCGCGGCATGTGGGATCCTCCCGGACCGGGGCACGAACCCGCGTCCCCTGCATCGGCAGGCGGACTCTCGACCACTGCGCCACCAGGGAAGCCCCCTATGATGATTTTTAACACCACTCAGTTCCAGGGGTCCCAATGACCACTGCAGGCCATGTCAACTTGAGGTGTCCACAGCAAGGGGGGCAGTGAGGCAGCCTACTGCTGCCACCTTGCCAGTGCCCCGGCCCTCCCCGACTTGGAGGAACCAGTGCCAACCCTGCCATGGGCTGAATGAGGCTGGGGCAGCCTGGCCTCCCTGGATGCAGCCTGTCTGGCTTCAGAGCAGAGAGGCTCAGAGCTGCTCTCCCAAGCATGTCTGATCAGCAGCCCCCTCCCCTGGCCCACCGCACAGCAGTGACACTGTTCCTGCCACTCTCTAAGGAGTGAACAGGGGACACGAGGCAAGGCCACAGAGCTACCCCCTATACACAGGGAGGGGGACACTTACAGTGTGAGCATTGCTGATCTTCTTCACTTCCCACTGGCCCAACCCGGTATAAGTCAGCAGAGAGACGGCTCCATCCGAGCTCCCACAAGCTAGCATCAGGCCGTAGTCATGGGGCGCCCAGCACACAGAGTTTACTGCAGGAGGGAGGGAGGAGCAGTGAGCAGACTTTCAGTTCTGAGACTGACTGTTTTACTAAATTTCTAAGAAAAAAAAATTGTAGGGATCACCAGGGGGAGGTTGTAATTTTGTCAATTAAGGAGATTTAAAACACCCATCACTACTAATATCGTCATAAACTAAAGCCTATCTTATAATCTGAGAACAAGGCCAGTACTTAAAATGAATAAACCTTAAAAAACCAAAAATCTCGCTATGTTGTCTTTGCTTTTCTCATTTTGCTTTGGATTGGCTTTAGGTCTTAAGGCCTTACCTCTGCTGTGGAAAGAGTAACAGAAAAGCAACCGAAGCCCAGGGGACAAACGACGAGCATCACAAGGGGAAAGCCGAGGGTTAGCCAAGACAGAGGCCTCCCCTCTCCCCCAGGGCCCCTCTGCCCGCCGCCCTCTCCCGCCACACTCAGTGCACCTGAGGAGTCGTGTCCCGTGTGCTCATGCGTCTTCTCCCAGGTGCCATTTTCCTCTTTCCAGATAATGACTTTCCGGTCATAGGAGCAGGATGCCAGGACATTGCCATACATGGGGTGGGCCCAGGCCACTTGCCACACAGGACCCTCATGGCTGCAAGGGGAGAAGGTCAGAGGTGCTCAAATGGGCCAAAGGAATCCACGGTGCTCTGCCAGCCACTACTTTGGACAGAAGTGAATGGCTTCTCAGGACAGAACTGCCTACAAATTTCAAAAAGGAGAGCTGTGTATAATGTCACTCCAAAAGGGGCCGTCATTGGGCAGTGAGGACCCTGAGGCTGAAGGCGAGTCAGCCCCTCTGTCCAGAGCCCTCACCTACCCCAGATGGTGGCCAGCATAGCCTACGTGTACTGTCATCAGCACAGTCACCAACAGATCCAGGGTTTACCCCCACAAGTGCTCAGGATATATCTGTAGGTGAATCACTACTCATCTTCCCAGACAGTCACCTTCTTGAGGAGGCAGTGACTATTTCATTTTGATACCTGCCACTACTCTTTTAACTTTATCAACAGGCATGTCTCTCTCTTCTCTTCCCACCTCTGTGCGTTCACTGTCTGACCACGTACCCTGTGCCAGGCTCTGTACTGGGGCCGTACCTCAGAACGGGGGGCACCCAGCACACAAGAGGTGGATGGCACAGAGGGGATGCTACAGGCTCTTCCACACCCATTCCACACTCACTTGCTGCTTGACTTTAGGCCAGGGCCATATCCTCTCTTTGGCTTTGTCTCTCAATAGAGGTGTCAACAAGACTTCTTTCACATGGCAGTCACGAGGGAAATGTTTGTGATAACTCAATAAAGAGCTTACAGCAGTGCTTGGTGCAAGAAAAGGAAAAAGCAAAAGCTTGACGCCTGCTAGCTCTGCGGCTGCTCCCTGCTGCCCATCCACCCGGGGCCGCCGACACTCAGAGTTCTCCTCGCTCCAGCTGGGACAGCGGTCCAGCCCCAGCCTCTACAAAGGAGCTGCTAATGAAACTCTTGTAGACTCAAACGTCCTACGATCAGCGAAATTTTAACTGAGGGAATAAAGAATGGGGGCCCCAATTTATTACCCTCCAGTATTTTTCATACTCAGAGCAGAAGAAAAACGCAGAGCAGAGGACCAAGTGACAGCAGACGATGCAGCCCCCGCCAGTGCTGGCAGCCAGGCCTCGCCCTCAGAGCTCTCCGCTCAGCCACGGGCTGCTGAGCAGGGAAGGCGGCATCTGGCTCCTGAGTCACTTGACTCCTGACACTCAGGAAGAGGTGGAACTTCTAGGCCTATCTCCTGAAACGGCTACTGACTTAGCTATGTCTTTTTTAACCCATTCACAAACATGTACTGAACACCCACTTGTCAGCGACTCTTAACTTCTCTTGTGCAGTCTGGTGAACGTTATGGTCCCTTCTCAGAATAACGGATAAAATACATAGAGCTAGGATTATAAAGAAAACCCAATTATACTGATATACAGTTATCAAAACGTTAAAGAACAATTTATGTTATTAGTGATACGTGTGCTTCTCTGTTAACACTTTAAGTAACAAACTCTAGTGGCAAGTCTAATAACCATTCTAACTTCAAAGTAGTGATGAGCATAAACGCTGTTTTGAGAAAGCTACAACCGTCATGTGATATAAAAATACCTGTGACGGTCTTCCCTAGTGGCGCAGTGGTTAAGGATCCGCCTGCCAATGCAGGGGACACGGGTTCGAGCCCTCGTCCAGGAAGACCCCACATGCTGCGGAGCAACTAAACCCGTGCGCCACAACTACTGAGCCTGCGCTCTAGAGCCCACGAGCCACAACTACTGAAGCCCGCACGCCTAGAGCCCATGCTCCGCAACAAGAGAAGCCACCACAATGAGAAGCCCGCGCGCTGCAATGAAGAGTAGACCCCGCTCACCGCAACCAGAGAAAGCCAGCGTGCAGCAGTGAAGACTCAACGCAGCCAAAAATAAATTTATTAAAAAAAAATCTATGACTCCTATTGGTAACAAAGTGACAGGTACTATGAATACTACTGTAGTTCCTGGCCTATAGCCATTAATTGAAGGAAACGCTAAATATCAGAGTCACTGAAAATAGAGAGGTAATTTTTTCCCTTTCCCAGTTCACCACCTCCTGAATTCTACCCACAGAACACTTGGAGATCCACGGTACCCAGGTTAAGAACCCCATCTACCTGAGGTAGTGAACTGAGGGAAAGCACTAGAGTGTGGCCACAGAACTGAGAGCCAGGATCTCAAGAATCTCAACAGGGAGAAAGGTAAATGAGACATTTGCAAATATTCACTGAGTACCTACCATGGGCAAACAGGCAGAATTATGGGATTTATATAATTACTATTACATTCTTAGATCACCAGCCTTGAGTCACTTTAGATCATGTGGTAGCTAAACTTGTTTTAAAAAAAAAAGTTAGTCTCCCACTTTTGAAAATAGCAGTGGCCGCTGGACGCTTGTTGCAAGTAGGCTCTACCTGGGCGGAGACAGCGGCAGCCTGTGTTGGGGGTGAGTGGGTGGAGGCTCTGAGAGCCTATAACTGACTCCCTCGCCCCAGGTCTGCCAGTGGGCATTTGGGCGGCAGAATTGAGATTCGCTCCTGGCTCCATCGGCCTGGGATACCTGATGAGGGCAGCCGGCTGGCTGGGACCAGGTGTCCTCTCCGCTGACTGTACTGTGTTACTGTGGGCTGCTCTGATCTGGCCCTCAGCCCTTCCTGCCATGTCTGAGAAGCCCACTCTCTGAGACCTTGCCCGGGGTTGGGTGCACTCACCCCCTGAGGTCGGCGATGAGGATCTGCCCTCCGTTGCGCACGTCGAAGATCTTGACGGACCTGTCCGATGAGCAGGTTGCCAGGCGGGTGCCGTAGTAGTCCATCTGGGCATCATGCTGCAAAGAGAGGAGAGCTCGGGAGGCCGGCAGGCTGGGCAGAGCGGGGTGGCGGCAGTCACCAGGACTGAGTCTAGGAGGGACCAGAATCTACCTGAAGTTAATCAAACCTCAAAGAATCATCACTATCAGGCAGGAAGCTAGCATGTCAACGTTCTCACTTCTCTGACAGGTAATTTCCTTCTGAAAGGGACAAGAAAAACCACACCCAGCTGCTTTTAGACCCTTTACATCACAGGGGAAGTCCTTCCCGGTCCTGTTCTGCACGGTGGGTATACGGGAGAAGAGAAGCTTGCCTAGCTTCCCTCTTCTTCCTCCCTCCTCAGGCCCCACTGTGTTCCGAGGCTCCGTGGGCCGCCAGGGAGGTTTGGTTCAGCGCCAGAACCCAGGGCTAACGCTGACCCAAAGAAGCAGGCCACTGACTGCCTGCAGGCCCCAATCAGGTCCTCCATGATGCACGTGTGGCCTGCACACAGGGTCCCATTCAGACCTTTAGGCTCCTTCTTCCACCCATGGTCCTGGATCCTCTGTGGACCTTTGTTCCTGGGTTTCTACTTGACCTTTTCCCTAGTAGTGTGCCCAGTACCCCAGACTCTCCACTCATGCCTTAAATGTCACTGGTCCCATCACTGATGAACCGACTTCATCGATGCTGCCTGGCCATTCAGACCTAGGGCTGGGCCCTGCCCACAGCTCCTTTTCCATCTGGGCGATGGCTCCTCTGAGCCAATCCACCTGCTGCCTCACTGTACTTACTGGCCCCTCCTGTTTGCTGGCCCTGCCTATTCCAACGGATGACACTTTCTTCACTGTTGCACCTTGAGGGTTTCAGGAACTATTAGCTGTCACTCCTGCGGTCATCAGGGGCAATCACATCCTTTCAAAGGGAAGCAATCATTTCGTCTGCTTCAACATTCCTTCCCCACCTCCCTACCCAAGGAAAACATCCTGATTCTTCTTGGGAGGCCAAGCCCCTCCACCATTCCAGGTCTTGGCTTGCTGGGAGGCAGGCAGGGCAGGTGCTGTGACAGCTTCTCTGCAAGTGTTTTTCTGAAGCACTGCTCCTGCAGAGTGCTATCACACACTTTGGGAGGAAGGAGGGCAAAGAACCTAAGAGATTTAAATCCTATCTCAAGTTGTCTGCTGTGCAACCTCAGAAAAACTTCCTAACACCCTTGAACCTAGTTTCCTTATCTTTAAATGGACCTGATGATGGCATCTGCTTCGAGGGTTGTTATGAAGGTTAAATGAGAAGTATTCAGCATGGGGTGTGATGCACAGTGAGCATGCAGACGTTAGTCATTACTACTTTGTCTCATCTGTTCCCCAAGATGAACCCACAGAGAGAGGTAGCAGCACATCCATAATTTTCCCCATCTTAGCTATGAGGAAATCAGGGCTGGCTCAGAAAAGTTAAGAGATTGACTATGAGTTTGGTTCAAGACGGCAGAGTAGAAGGACATGCCCTCACTCGCTCTTGCGAGAGCACTGGATTCACAACTAACTGCTGAACAATCGTGGACAGGAAGACGCTGGAACTCACCCGAAAAGATACCCCACATCCAAAGACAAAGGAGAAGTCACAGTGAGATGGTAGGAGGGGCACAATCACAATAAAATCAAATCCCATAACTGCTGGGTGGGTGACTCACAGACTGGAGAACACTTATACCACAGAAGTCCACCCAATGGAGTGAAGGTTCTGAGCCCCACGTCAGGCTTCCCAACCTGGGAGTCCGGCAACGGGAGGAGGAATTCCTAGAGAATCAGATTTTGAAGACTAGTGGGATTTGATTGCAGGACTTTGACAGGACTGGGGGAAAGAGAGACTCCACTCCTGGAGGGCACTCACAAAGTAGTGTGCACATGGGGACCCAGGGGAAGGAGCAGTGACCCCAGGGGAGACTGAATCAGACCTACCTGCTAGTGTTGGAGGGTATCCTGCAGTGGCAGGGGGTGGCTGTGGCTCACCGTGGGGACAAGGACACTGGCAGCAGAAGTTCTGGAAAGTACTCCTTGGTGTGAACCCTCCCAGAGTCCATCATTAGGCCCACCAAAGAGCCGGGTAGGTTCCACTGTTGGGTTGCCTCAGGCCAAATAACCAACAGAGAGAGAACCCAGCCCCACCCATCAGCAGACAAGTGGATTAAAGTTTTATTGAGCTATGCTCAGAGCAACACCACTCTACCCACCACCAGTCTCTCCCATCAGGAAACTTGCACAAGCCTCTTCCACCAGAGGGCAGACAGCAGAAGCAAGAACAACTACAATTCTGTAGCTGTGGAAGGAAAACCACATTTACAGAAAGACAGACAAGACGAAAAGGCAGAGGACTTTGTACCAGATGAATGAACAGGATAAAACCCCAGAAAATCAACTAAATGAAGTGGAGACAGGCAACCTTCCAGAAAAATAATTCAGAATAATGATGGTAAAGATGATCCAGGGGGCTTCCCTGGTGGCGCAGTAGTTGAGAGTCCACCTGCCGATGCAGGGGATGCGGGTTTGTGCCCTGGTCTGGGAGGAACCCACATACCGCAGAGTGGCTGGGCCCGTGAACCATGGCTGCTGAGCCTGCGCGACTGGAGCCTATGCTCTGAAACGGGAGAGGCCACAGCAGTGAGAGGCCCGCGTACCGGAAAAAAAAAAAAAAAAAAAAAA